CCAACAAAACATTAGCAATTATTGACAAAGTCAGCAATGCAGCCTGCCTTAGGCAGGACGCTAAAAGGGGTGATAGTATCTTCCCTTTTGCGTAATCAGTCTCGAACCATAGAATCTCTGTTGACCAGTTAGGGTTCCTAGTAACCATAATACTAGGTGGCGACTCCTTAAACAAAGATCATTCACCATCAAAGAACTGGATGCTAGAAATCCGTTCTTTCCAAAGAATTTATATTTTTAAGGCCGCCGCGATGTCGGGTGCGACACTGCATATCACTGCCCACAATTCAGCCTTAATTGAAGAGCAGTAACCAGTGTTGATAGCAAAACCTATAATCCAAGATTCCATGCCATCACGAAGAAGTCCTCCTGAGCCAGCAGCACCCGGATTTCCTTTGCTACATCTATCCCTATTAAGTTTCATCAATTGGCCAGGAGGGTATTTTCATTTAACATAGTGGTAAATCAAGTTTTTATCGGTATATCTTTACCAAAAAACACTAGATTAAAAAGGTATAAATTTTTTAAAAAACAAGCACACCCTAATAAAGCACGCTAAGCAATATGCCAAGCTCTAAGTCATTGGACGTGACAGTGTATCAAGCACAAGCATGTCAAACAAGATTGCGCTTGGCAGTGTGTCAAACTTGGACATGTTAGTCTGGCATTAGCTAGAGCCAGACATGAATAAGTTTGGTAGGGTATCAAGCCCCGAGAATGATAGGTCTAACATTAGCCAGACCTAGATGTAATTGGGCTTGACAGTGTGCTAAGCCCTGAGCATGCCTAAGAAAATAATCATCCTTCATCGGCACACCAAAAAATAAAATAAGGTAATGTGAGTTTGATAAACATGCCAGAACCAAAGTATACGGACTTGACATTTAGCGAAGTTCAAGGTAACGTCGATTTGACAAATATACTAGACCCAAAGCATTTGGACTTGACAATTAGCCAAATCCAAGGTCACCATCCTCCTTTTACACGACTTAGGGAAAGACCATTATAGAGATGAGCAAAAAAAATAATTAAAAAACTAATTAAATGAAGAAAAAAATAATTGAAAAAACCAATTAAATTTTGAAAAAACTAGTCGGTTTGGTTTTATAAGAAAAAAACCTAAAAAACTGAATTGAACTGAAAAACTAGGAAAAAACCAGAAAAACCGAGTCAAACAGGAAAAATCAAGTCAAACCTGTTTGAACAGGTTTTTGTATTAAAAACCGAACCGAATCAAAACCGGTTGGTTTGAACATGGGGTTTGGCACTCTGCGAAGCTCAATCACGTCTAAGTCCAGCTCGCACTAAACCCAGCGTGCTCGGGGCTTGCATACTACCACGTCTAGCATTCTAAGGCTCAGCACATTGCTAAGTACATCATGCATTTACTGACCCATGATTGTTTTCCTGAAAATTTATATCCGTAAATCTTTTTTGATTTGATTTTTTTTGTAAGGATATATTGATAAAAACTTAGCTCATCACATAATATATTAAGCCTACAAATAAAGCTCACATTTAAGTCCAGACACTTCATGCCTAAAAAGCAGCCATAAAAAACTAAAATCAATATGGTGATATACTCTGTTATGCTTATACATGAATTGTTAGTGCGGCGCTATCTTTCTTGTCAACTTTACAAATGGTTTTCTCCACCAAATTCTTTCCTCAAGGAACATCAACCTTATATGCCAATCATCCTCGAGTGTCAGTCTTTTCTACCGATGACATAACAAGGCACAACAACATGCAATTTAAATTTTGAGGTTATTTACATGGAAAAACAATTATTTTTCATCATTACTTTACTTTCTACGAGATAAGCTCATGTGATTAAGATGTATAAATACCTTGGATTACCAAGCATTCAAGGACATCATATAAAACATAAGTTCGTACAATAACACACAGGCCATCACAATATTTACTCTCCTAGGCTCTGTAGCTCTCTTGATTACACTTTACTTTTCTCCTATGACTTACTAATTCAAACATTGAAGTTTTTCTATCTTAGTAGAAAACTTGTTTTGCAGGGTATATTAAGCTCAAAAATAAAACTCATATTTAAGCGCAGACACTTCACGCTCAAGAGAAAGCTCAAAAAAGCTAAAATCCACTATGAAGTTATCAACTTTTATGAAAGAATATTGTTGTTAATTGTCCCGTGTAAGCGAATGCTAGTTCACATACCATTACTTTAAAGGCCAAACTCCATCCGAGAAAGAATCTTGCAAAAATGTAGCATGCTTAAAGCTTTCTCTTTCTGAATCAAGAGATAAAAATTCATGACAAATATTAATCACTTTGTGGTGTTTAACCATGATTGTCAGTCCTATCATTTCTCTATAATGGAGGACATTTCATGGTAGGATAATGTTGGATTTTAAATTATGATTGATTTGTAAATCCAAAGAGCGCTTAATTATAATTAGTTTTAGAATATTAAAAATATATAAAACTTTTCCTAGATCGATGTGCCACTGTATTTATGGATACGAGGCTTCAAATGTGAATAAAAGAGGATTTAGTTTTGATATATCGAAATTACTTAGATAGTGAAAGTGTTTTTTCATTTTCCTCCTCAAATAATTTTTTTCTGTCTTAATTGC